TTATTATTATAATAATATTGTTTTTTAATATCAGCTGGGACAGGCGAATTCTTCTAAAAATATTTTGTAGAAAAGGCTAAGGTATAAAATTTTTTTTAACACTTGGAGGTAAACCAATCTCTCTCTTTCGTTCTCCCTCTCGCTTTCGTCATTTGCACCCCTTCCTCCCGTTCTTCGTGTAATTATTATCTTTAGCTAATTATAATCGACAATTGCGTCCTATCTACAATACATAACAAAACTTTCATACACTGCATTCGTGTACTCCAATTTGATAACAATAACAAGTATTAAGAAAAGAAATGATTCTCATTCGAAATCTGATTCCTCTGTAATGTGAAATTGCATTTAGTACTATTATTATTATTATTATTTTTCTTTAATATAAGGCATATATTAAGGGTTCTTTACGATTATTTATTTATTTTTTTTTAAGTATATTTTGCGGCAGCGTGAAAATTTTGCGGAAAATTATCAATCGACATCTTTTACACTAACTAACTGTTAAGTATCATTTTTTGTGCATTATCAGTAATTTATTGTAAAAGGGCTACGAATAACGTGATTACGCGATTGTTTTGGAGACGAAACAACAAAACTACGTACTAAAATATTGTTTTTCTCAATAACTTTGGTTTTTGTATCAATGTTTATATTATTTATACTTAAAACGATTATTTTTTCTTACGTTAGTAACAAAGCAATTAAATTAGTTAGACGGGCTAAAAAAAAAATTAAAAATGATAAGCACGTTATTGCTGGCGATTGTTTGTTTGCTTTGCGTTTTTGAAAATGTCGCTTGATACTTTCCGAATTACATAAGCAGCAATGATAAGGCTTTTGTATTACAATTGGACTAGCGTTATTAAGTTACAAACTTTATTACCTATTATTGCAGGTATTGACAAAAAATTTGTTATATTATTATTATTAGGTATTTTTTTTTTCAAANGGATGTGGGCTGTTCTAGTTTTAGGGAAATGCGAAGTTTAGCTCAGGATAGGAAAGAGTGGAGGTACGTGTCCAACCAGTCTTAGGACTGACGACCTTATGATGATGATGAAGAAGTAAAATACTATTGAAAGTAAACATAAATAACTGCAGTTTGCATTTTTATTTCAACTGGAAACACTTGTACCTTCAAACGAGTGATCGTCAAACTTTTGTCTTTATCGGTTGTACTGGTTAGACCTAAAAAGGCAGATGATGACATAGACATTATTATCGTGAGCCATTTTGGGTCCAACCGACAGAAATGACAGCGGCAAGTCAATGGTGGACTAAGAGTGGTGAAATGAGAGAATCCCTTAGTCTGCTCAGAAAGTGATGTATTGTTTGGATCTAAAAAGGCAAATGATGATCATGACGATGATTATTTAACCCCGGCTTGGTCAGAAACTGTAGAAATTATAGGTGGCGCTGACGTTGGTATGTTTTCCCTAAGGAGTATTGGTTAACAGAAAAAAATTTCTTCTTAATTATGCCCAATCATGCTTTGAACATTGCAATCGAAGTGTCTCACTATTTTCTCCAAACTCCTACGACAACTTTTTCAAGAATGTTCGTTGTCCTTTAAACTAATCTCTTTGACCTTACCTCGACCTACAGCTTAACTATAAAATGACACTTACCTTTCCCTCTTCGTCGTATGCTAATTGATATTTGATTGATTGATCCATTTTCTCGATCCCTATTTTTATACACGGGGATTTCTTGTTTAAAGGATTTGTTGGGGTTGTAACAAAAACAGTTGTTAAGATTTTTTTGTTTATTTATTTAACCTTACAACATATTAAAATACTAATACTTGGGTATGAACTTAATAATAATAATGTAATTGTTGGCCGTGTCCTTTTTATTTATTTAAATAATGGTGCATATTGAGGAGGGCAATGAGTTTGACTCGTGTGTAGAAACACGTACCCATTAGTAGGGACTTAAAATGGTAACCTTCATGGGCTTTTATATCGCGTTTTTTTCAAATAGGCTGCCTTATTTTTCAGGACGGAAGTGGTAATGATATAATTTGATTTCAGTTAGGTTAGGTTGGGTTCAACGACTGGACATGCACATTACTGTAACAACTACGGTATTGCAATTATTTCTAATTAATCGATTTAATGGTCGATTTTAATAATATGATGTCGTTTTTGAAATGTGTAACTGAATTTTACATAAAATGAAGAAAGTTACTTGTGATTTTTTAAAAATCCCTGTTTCTAAATTATCATAAATTATAAATGTATCTATAATAAGATAATATACATATATAAATTAGTATATTATATTGGATCAATTCGATGGGCTTTAATTTTCTATTGTTTTGATCACATAACATGCCATTATTTAGTTTTTTGATTCCTACAAAAGTCCCCACTGATTATATAACTAAAATTTCTCCTTATATTTCTGGGATAAAAGTAGTTAATGTTAGACTTAACACACACAATATATTAATCAGATAGGTTTTCCTTTTCTATGTATACCTTTTTAATTATATATATATTAGCAAATATTAGTTGATCATAGGATTTAAAATCTAGAAAATTGTTTAACAAATGCTTGATAAGTCTTGTTTTTGTTAAATGAACATCAGGTAGTCTCAAAAGAAAATAATTTGACCATTTTAAGAATGAAAAAATGTAAAAAATTGTTTCGCTGTTGTAATAATTTTAAAAATTGATTTTTATATCACAATTTTCAAATTTA